CAGAGCTCAGACGGGCAGTCGCAGTGACCAATCACTGCGCGGGACGCGAAGCGCGGGGGCGGGCGCGGGGAGGTGTCGGGCGGAAGCGGCTCGGTGAGGAGGGCGAAGATGGCGGCGCGGCGGGGCCGGGGCCCGGGTCCGGGGCCGCTGCTCCTCTCGGTCCTGGCCGTGCTGGGCCCGGCGCTGCGGGGCGCCCGCGCCGCGCTGGACCTGCAGGAGCTCGGCGAGCTCAAGTACGGCCTCGAGATCCTGGCCGAGCCCGTGCTGGCCGGGCAGGTGCGCGGGGCAGCGGCCCGGGCGGTACCGGCGGTGGGGCTCGGCGCGGGGCTGGAGGCGCTGCCCGGGGACCGGGCTGAGGACACCGCGTGTTCCAGTGTGGTTCACCCGGGCATGGGGCTGGGGGCTCCGGGCCTTCCCTCGGGCGCCGAGCGGCTCCGGTGGCTCCCCACAGGGCAGGAACCGGCTCCGTGGGGCCGGGAACGGAGCCGCCGCTGCCCGGTAGCTCGGTCCCCTTTGGGCAGGGTGGGCTTGGGGCAAGTGAGGCACGGGGAGGGGGGCACCGGTGCCCTCCAAGGACCCCCCCCGAGCCCCGTGTCCCCCCCAGCGCCCGCCGGGGGACGTGGTGACGGTGGCCTCCAAGTTCAAGCAGCGCTACGAGTGCCGGCTCCCGGCGGCGGCCGTGCGGAGCCCCCCGGAGCCCCTGGAGGAGGCGCAGCTCTACAACGGCTCCGGGGTCAGCGAGCTCCTGCAGCCCATGGCAGCGGCTCCCTGCCTCGTCAAGGTGGGCTCTGGCGCATGGGGTGGGCCCTAGGGACAAAGGGTGGGATTTGGGGGCCCCCATCCCTGTTCACCCCCATCTTTTCCAGACCAAGGACTGGTGGACCTACGAGTTCTGCTATGGGAAGCACATCCAGCAGTACCATGTGGAAGGTGACGGTGGCACAGGGAGGATGAGGGGGGCAAATTGTCCCCGATGTCCCCTCCAGCCTATGCCACTCTGGCCTCTCACTGTAGAGTCGGAGATCAAAGGAGACATCCTCTTCCTCGGCTATTATCAGTCAGCGTTCGACTGGGATGATGAAACAGCCAAGGTTTGGGCTCCATCCCACCTGCATGTGCCAGCACCCAGCCCGTGTACGAGCCAGCAGAGAATCCCCAGCTCCAACCCCTCTGCAGGCCTCCAAGCAGCACCGGCTGAAGCGCTACCACAGCCAGAGCTACGTGAATGGCTCCCGCTGCGACCTCACTGGCCGGGCCCGCGAGGCCGAAGTGCGGGTGAGGCTGCAGCGGCACTGGGTGATGGTGACAGTGATGATGATGGTAGCGGTGACGGTGGTGGTGGTGATGGTGATGATGATGATGGTAGCGGTGACGGTGGTGGTGGTGATGATGGTAATGGTGATGGTGGTGGTGGTGGCAGTGATGGTGGTGGTGGTGATGGTGATGATGGTGGTGGTGATGATGGTGGTGATCCTGATGGTGATGATGGTGGTGATGGTGACGGTGTTGATGATGGCTCCACCCCCCAGTTCCTGTGTGAGGAGGGGGCTGGTGACCACCTCGCCCGTGTGGATGAGCCCCAGTCCTGCTCCTATGTGCTCACGGTTCACACCCCCCCGCATCTGCCACCACCACCGTCCCCCAGCGCGGCGCCGCAGCCCATCCTGTGCCAGCCCGCGCTCAGCCCGGCCCAGTACGTCCAGTACGTCCGGGCCCAAGTCTGTGAGTAGTGGGGCCCCCCAGGGGTGGGTGCAGGGTGGGACCCCGCAGGGGTGACGCGGGTCCCCCTCTTGTGTCCCTCCAGCGGACACCAAGCGGAAGGTTGAGGAGATCTCGGAGGAGCTCAAGACCTTGGACACGAAGCTGTGGAGCGAGAGGGATGTGGAGACCCCTGGGTCCCCCCCCGAGGGGGCACCGGTGGCCCATGGCGACGGTAGGGCCCATGTCCCATGGCCAAGGAGCCATCGCGGCGGGGGGCAGCCGGGCCCACGTCCCCTCCTCTTCCTCCCCCCACCAGGCACGCCGAGGGATGAAGCAGACCCAGCCAAGGAGCAGGGCCACGAGGTGACCGGTGAGGATGGCGGCCACCAGGACAGCACCAGGGTGAGTCCTCCTGGGTGTCCCGTTGTGCAGGAGCCACGCTGGGCTCCTGCTCCATCGCCCCCTCTCCTTCTGCAGGCGGAGGAGCCATCCCCGAGGGCAGCTGGTGGCCGAGTGACCGGTGAGTCCCGCGGTGGCGCCTGCTCCCTGTGCCCCCCGCTACAGCCCCGTCCCCCCCGCCTGTCCTTTGCTGTGGTCACCTTGTAGATCCGAGGAAGAAAATCCACTTCAAAGTGATCCGGAGCCTTGGGGACCTGCTCCATTTCATCGAGGAGCTGAAGGAGAGCTCCAGAAAGGTGGGTGCCCACGGGGAGCTCTTCCCGGCCTCGCCTGTCCCCTTGCCTCTGAGGGGTGTCCACGAGAACCTTCCCTCCACCTCTAGGCCAAGGAGAAGGTGAGTGAGGAGGAGGAGGAGGTGGGAGAGGCAGCGGCCAAGGCCCTCCCAGCCCATGAGGAGCCCTCAGTGGGCGACAAGGAGCGGCCAGAGGAGGAAGAAGAGGATGAGGAGGACGACGAGGACCTCCTGGGTGGCTTTGAGAAGGAGCTGGAGGCCGTGCTGCTGCCGCGGGAGCAGATGGCGCAGCTGAAGGAGGAGGTGAAGACAGAGATGGAGAAGGAGTTTGACAACATCATCAATGAGGTGGGGGATGGAGCTGGGACTCCCCTGGCCGGGCTGCCCTCCCCCCCCCACGAGCCCCCTAAACCCATCACCTGCAGGTGGAGGATGAGCTGGAGACCGAGGGGCTGAAGGGCGAGTTTGACCGGACCCGGGCCTCCAAGTCCTTGGCCTCCACCCTCAACCGCCTGATGGACAAGTTGGACAGGGGGGGCGAGAGGGAGGAGGAGGAAGGAGCTGGGAGGAAGAGCAGGTCCGGGCACCAGGAACCCCCCCAGGGCCACCCCCAGAGCGACGTGCGGGAGCTGCTGGCCAAGGAGGGGCTGCGGGCAGAAGGTAGGGGCTGGGGGAGCCCCAGTGCCAGCCTCCATCACCCCAACCCTCCTCCTCCTCCATCACCCCAACCCTCCTCCTCCTCCATCACCCCAACCCTCCTCCTCCTCCATCACCCCCAGCCCTCCTCCTCCTCCATCACCCTCAACCCTCCTTCTCCTCCATCACCCCAACCCTCCTCCTCCTCCATCACCCCAACCCTCCTGCTCCTCCATCACCCCCAACACTCCTGCTCCTCCATCACCCCCAACTCTCACCCTCCTCCATCACCCTCAACCCTCCTCCTCCTCCATCACCCCAACCCTCCTGCTCCTCCATCACCCCCAACCCTCCTCCTCCTCCGTCACCCCCAACTCTCACCCAGCCCTCCTGCTTCTCCATCACCCCAACCCTCCTCCTCCTCCGTCACCCCAACCCTCCTCCTCCTCCGTCACCCCAACCCTGCTCCTCCTCCGTCACCCCAACCCTCCTCCTCCTCCGTCACCCCAACCCTCCTCCTCCTCCGTCACCCCCAGCCCTCCTCTTCCTTCATCCCCCCCAACCCTCCTTCTCCTCCATCCCGCCCCATCCTCTTCCTCCTCCATGCCCCCCAGCTCTCTTCCTCCTCCATCCCCCCCAGCTCTCCTCCTCCACCATCTCCCCAACTCTCTTTCTCCTACATCCCCCCCAACCCTCCTCCTTATCCCAGGGAAGATCGAGATCAAGATCGTGACAGCAGGGGGGGACGAGGCCGAGGGCCGGTGGCTGTCAGAGGAGGACACCAAGAACCTCAAGGAGATCTTCTTCAATGTGCTGGTGAGCGCGGGGGGGAGCGGCCCCCCCATCATGAGTGTCCCCCCATTGCTGGGTCCCCCTGACCCGTGTCCCCCCCAGCTGCAGGGCTCCCCCGAGGTGCACCGGGAGCGGCGGCGGCAGCAGGCACTGCAGGACAATTACCGCTTCGTGTGGGGGGGCCGCCGTGAGCCGCCCCCCCCCGGGGACTCCGAGGACCCCGACTTGTGACCCCCCCCCCCCTCACCCAGTGCTCTGCTGTGGGGCTGCCCCATGGCTGGGTCCCATGGACTGGTTTGGGGGGTCCCTGTGACGTGGGGAAGTGGTTTGGGGGGGGGATATTGGAGGGGGGGTATTTTGTGGGGGTGTAATATGGGGAGGGGGTGATTTGGGGGGGTCCCTCGTTGCCACTGGAGCCGTTTGTGTCCCCCCTTTTTACCAATAAACCGGGTCCCCCGGCTCTGTCTCTTTGTCCGTGACGCGCCCCCACCCGTGTCCGCCCGTCCGGTACCCCCCCCCCCGGGCTCACCGAGGGCCTCGCTGGGTCCTAGTGCCCGCCCCATGGACTGGGCGCAAAGGGGAGGGCTTGTGGGCGCGCCGCAGCCAATCAGGATCAGGAGAGGGCGGGGGCTCGTCTGGTGCTGGCCAATGGGAGCGAGGAGGGGGCGGGTCAATGCCGGGACGCACCTGGTTCACCGGGACCCCTAGAACTGACCGGACCCACCGGGACCCCCCCGGGATCCAGGGCCCGTCCGCGACCTCGGCCCTACCCCACGGTGTCCCCATCCCTGGCCGTGGACTCCCCCGTGTGCGGCCACGCTCTCCCCATCCCGGGCCGTGGTTGCCCCGTACGTACCCCCCCCGGCTCGTGTCCCCACCACTGCCATTGCCCCCTGCACATCTGTGGGGTCCTCAACCACAACCATGCCCCCCACAATGTGGCCACTGTCCCCTCCCGAAGGGGCTGTAACGTGTGGCCCCCGAATGTCCCCGGCTCTTGGTGGCCACCATTGGGTGCTGGTGTCTGCAGGGGCTGGTTCGGGGACCAGGGACCCACAGCGGGGAGGGGATGGGTCCCTGGGTGCTGCCCTGACACTGACACCCCCCCCCCCCCCCCGGTCTCACCTCTTCCCCCCGCCCCCGTTTGGAGCCGTTGAGCCGGTTCCTTGTTCGGGTGCGTCTGAGCCACGTGGAGCCGTGGGCAGGGCCATGGGCAGCACCGGACAGGTACCGGGGGGACCCCCCAGGTGACCCCCTTGCGGCTCCGGGGACAGCCCCTGTTGTGGCTGTAACGAGATTGGGCTGGGCCGGGTCATGGGGGGGGTGTTTGGGGACACTCATGGGGCTGGGGGTGCTCAAATGGGGCTGAAAACTCGCGGGGGCTGGGGGGGAACCGGGGAGGGACCGGGGAAGGGAGGAAGGGGGGCACGGGTAAGGGGCCGGGAGGGATTGGGGGAGACAAAGGGGACACGGGGAGGGATTTGGGGGTCTCCGCAGGACAGGGAGCTGGTGGCGGGGGGGTTCTGTGGGTGCTCGGGGGGGTCCATCCCTGCCCTGTCCCCTGCAGCCCCCGAGGCGCCGCTGTGGGGCCGTGCGGGGCCCCTGGTTCCTGCTGGGCTTCGCCGTGGGGCTGGCGCTGGGGGGCAGCTTCCTGCGAGGCCTTGGGGGGCTGCAAGGCCCCCCAAGAGCCGAGGGTGCTCCCCCCCTGCGCAGCCTCCCCCCGCCCACAGGTGAGACCGGGGGGGGAACCCATGGGAGATAACGGGGGAGGGTTGCGGGAGGACAAGGTCCCGGAAGCAGGGACGGGCGCAGCCGGGGTGGTGGCGGTGACGTCCCCGTGTGGCACCGGGGAGGTGGCACCGAGGGACAAGGGAACGGCTTTACCCTGCCCGAGGGCAGACTGAGATGAGCTCTTAGGCAGAAGCTCTTCTCTGTGAGGGTGCTGAGGCGCTGGCACAGGGTGCCCAGAGAAGCTGTGGCTGCCCCATCCCTGGCAGTGCTCAAGGCCAGGTTGGACACAGGGGCTCGGAGCACCCTGCTCCAGTGGGAGGGGTCCCTGCCCGTGGCAGGGGTTGGGGCTGGAGGAGCTTCAAGGTCCCTCCCAACCCAAACCAACCCCTGTTTCTCTGGGGCTGGCAGTGGGAGCTCTGAGCCTGTGACGCATTTGGGATGTCCTGGATATGGTGGGAGCTCGGAGCTGGGGACCGGGATGGGGCAGTGGCCACAGGACATCCCTGCACTCAGAGGTGCCTACGGCACATCCAGCACACGGAGGTGTCCATGGCCCGCCCCAGCTCCCTCTCTCCCGCAGTGAACAGCAGCCTGGCACAGGCGCTGTACGAGCGGGTGCGTGTCCTGTGCTGGGTCATGACCAGCCCCAGCACCCTGGAGACCAGAGCCAGGCACGTGCAGGCGACCTGGGCCCGGCACTGCAACGTGGTGCTGTTCATGAGCTCCGCGCCAGAGCCGAGCCTCCCGGCCGTGGGGCTGCCCGTGGGGGAAGGTCGGCATCAGCTCTACTGGAAAACCATCCGCGCCTTCCAGTACGTGCACGAGCATCACCTGGACCAGGCCGATTGGTTCCTCAAGGCGGACGACGACACCTTCGTGGTGGTGGCCAACCTGCGCTGGCTCCTGGCCGGGCGCTCCCCGGAGGCCCCCCTGTACCTGGGGAAGCGCTTCAAGCCCTTCGTGCGCCAGGGCTACATGAGCGGGGGGGCCGGGTACGTGCTCAGCAAAGGGGCCCTGCGGCTCCTCGCAGCCGCCTTCGCCGCTGGGACCTGCACCCACAGCAGCCCCGTGGAGGACCTGGCGCTGGGGCAGTGCCTGGAGAAGCTCGGGGTGGCCGCGGGGGACTCCCGGGACTCCCAGGGACGGGAAACGTTCCACCCCTTCCCGCCGGAGCAGCACCTCACCCAGCCCCTGCCCCGCGACCGCTTCTACCCGCAGTACTCCTACTACCCCGTGCAGTGGGTGAGTAGGGCCCCGGCACACGAACCCATCCCATGCGGATCAGAGCGGGGGCACAGAGCCCCCCCCAGTCCCCTCTGAACCCGCAAGGTTCCCTCTGCACCCTCAAGTCTCCTCTGCACCCCCCCAGTCCCCTCTGCACCCCCAAGGTTCCCTCTGTACCCTCAAGTCTCCTCTGCACCCCCCCCAGTCCCCTCTGCACCCGCAAGGTTCCCTCTGCACCCTCAAGTCTCCTCTGCACCCTCAAGTCTCCTCTGCACCCCCAAGGTTCCCTCTGCACCCTCAAGTCTCCTCTGCACCCGCAAGGTTCCCTCTGCACCCTCAAGTCTCCTCTGCACCCTCAAGTCTCCTCTGCACCCCCAAGGTTCCCTCTGCACCCTCAAGTCTCCTCTGCACCCCCAAGGTTCCCTCTGCACCCTCAAGTCTCCTCTGCACCCTCAAGTCTCCTCTGCACCCCCAAGGTTCCCTCTGCACCCTCAAGTCTCCTCTGCACCCCCAAGGTTCCCTCTGCACCCTCAAGTCTCCTCTGCACCCTCAAGTCTCCTCTGCACCCGCAAGGCTCCCTCTGCACCCTCAAGTCTCCTCTGCACCCGCAAGGTTCCCTCTGCACCCTCGTCTCCTCTGCACCCCCCTAGTCCCCTCTGCACCCCCAAGGTTCCCTCTGCACCCTCAAGTCTCCTCTGCACCCCCCAGTCCCTCTGCAGCCTCAAGTCCCCTCCCATTTCATTTGCATAGAGGACAGGCCTCTCTTCTAATTCTCACCTACTCAAAGCTCCGCCCATTTAATTTGCATACAGACCACGCCCATTCTCCTGCACCCCCCCAATGCGTGTCCCGCCCCCTCAGACCACGCCCCCTCTGGCGCCCCCTGCAGGCCGCCGCGTGCTGCTCCGACCTCTCGGTCTCGTTCCACTACGTGGACGGGGTCCAGATGCACGCGCTGGAGTTCCTGACCCACCGGCTGCGGCCCTACGGATACCGGCACCGGTACCGGCCTGACCCCCCCTGACCCCCCCGGCACCGGTACCGGCCTGACCCCCCCTGACCCCCCCGGCACCGGCACCGGCCTGACCCCCCCTGACCCCCCCAGCACCGGCACCGGCCTGACCCCCCCTGACCCCCCCGGCACCGGCACCGGCCTGACCCCCCCTGACCCCCCCGGCACCGGCACCGGCCTGACCCCCCCTGACCCCCCCGGCACCGGCACCGGCCTGACCCCCTCTGACCCCCCCAGCACCGGCACCGGCCTGACCCCCCCTGACCCCCCCGGCACCGGCCTGACCCCCTCTGACCCCCCCGGCACCGGCCTGACCCCCCCTGACCCCCCCGGCACCGGCCTGACCCCCCCTGACCCCCCCGGCACCGGCACCGGCCTGACCCCCCTGACCCCCCCGGCACCGGTACCGGCCTGACCCCCTCTGACCCCCCCGGCACCGGTACCGGCCTGACCCCCCCGGCACCGGCACCGGCCTGACCCCCCTGACCCCCCCAGCACCGGCACCGGCCTGACCCCCCCTGACCCCCCCGGTACCGGCCTGACGCCCTAACCTCCCCCGGCACCAGCACAAACCCCCCTGACACCCCTCCCGGCACCGGTACCAACCTGACCCCGCTGACCCCCCCTAGCACCGGTACCGGCCTGACCGCCTGACCCCCCTTGACAACCCCCCAGCACCTGCACTGGCCTGACCCCCCCCCAGGCACCGGTACCAGCCTGACACCCTGACCCTCCACTGGTACTGGCATGAACCCACTGACTCCCCCTGACCCCCCCCCCGGCAATAGTACCGGCCTGACCCCCTAACTCCCCCGGCACCGGTACTGGCCTGATCCCCACTGACCCACCCCGGTACCGGCATGAACCCCCTCCAACCCCGCTTGACGCCCCCCAAAACCCTTCTAGCACCGATACAGGCCTGACCCCCTGACCCCACTGACCCACACCGGTACCGGTCCTGACCCCCCGAACCCCTTCCGGCACCGGTACCGGCCCCCCCATACACCCTAGCACCAGAACCCTCTTGGTCTCCAGCCCTAAGCCACGGGACAGCCCCAAGGCACAGCCCAACCACAGTCCTATTGCGGGACCCCCGCTCCCCATCCCGATCCCCCCGCGGTGCCACCGCAGGAGCCGCGCTCACAGCGCCAAATCCAACATTGTTACGTACTTACAGTTACAACCCGAAAACGCTGTACACGCCATGACACGCCACGGCACGCCAAGGCACGCTATGACACGCCACAGCACGCCACAGCATGCCATGACACGCCACAGCATGCCATGACACGCTATGACACGCCACAGCACGCCACAGCATGCCATGACACGCCACGACATGCCCTGGCACGCCATGACCTCCCTGGTCCCCCCGAGCCCCGGGGCCCTGGCTCAGTCCCACCGGCGCTGCCGGGGCGTCACAGCGAGGGGCACCCCTACATTCATGGGAGGGTCCCAGGGGTGGGGGCCACGGGGTGGGCCCCCTCCAGGCTCATGGGTGGGCCCCCAGGCCCATGGGTGCCCCTGGCACCACCCAACGGTGAAACGAAGCAATAAATTAAAGAGGATCCCAAGGGGACGGTGACAAAAGGGGGGCTGGGGGGGTCACAGGTTCGGGGGGGGTCTCAGGGCACAGTCGGGGGGGGGGGTTGTACAAAAGGGGCTGTAGAAAAGGGGGTCGGGGCTGCTCCTGTCACGGTGCCGGTGCCAGGGGAGGGGACTTGGGGTGGGGGACCCACGGAGAGGTGGGATGGGGGGGACAGGACCCACGTCAGTGGGGAGCCGTAGGCAGGATGACGTGAATGGGGTGACACGGGCGGTGTGACACGGCCAGCGCTGTCCCCATCGGTGCCCCACACCGAGACACCGGGAGGTGACCACGGTGCCACCAGCGCTGGGTGCTGGGACCTGGCACGGGCAGAGGGACAGGACCGGGAGAGCTCCCGGCAGGAGCCGTGTAATAAATAGAGCCCCAGGACAGCGAACCGGGGCCGGTGGCACCGGGGGCTGGTGGCGGCCCCCGCAGCCCGGGGGGGGGCCGTGGCTACACCAGTGCCGTGTGCGGCTCGCAGGGCCCGCAGCTGCTCCTGCGGCCGGTGCCGCCGGCGCTGTCGGTGCTGTCGGCGCTGTCGCCGGGCCCCTCTCCGGGGCAGCCGTGCTGCACCAGGATGTCCGCGCACTCCCGGCTGCCGGCGCGGCGCGCGTAGAACAGCGCCGTGTGCCCGCGGCCGTCCCGGGCCCGAGCGTCCGCTCCGTGCTGCGGGGACACGGGCGTCAGGGCCGCGCTCACCGGGAGGGGATCGGGGATGTGGAGATGGGGGATGCGGGGCTGGGGGATGCGGGGATGAGGGATGCGGGGAGGGGCGACGTGGGAATGGGGGATGTGGGGATGGGGGATGTGGGTATGGGGGATGCGGGGTTGAGGGATGCGGGGCTGGGGGATGTGGGGATGGGGGATGCGGGGAGGGGCGACGTGGGAATGGGGGATGTGGGGATGGGGGATGTGGGGATGTGAGGATGGGGGATGTGGGTATGGGGGATGCGGGGTTGAGGGATGCGGGGCTGGGGGATGTGGGGATGGGGGATGCGGGGAGGGGCGACGTGGGAATGGGGGATGTGGGGATGGGGGATGTGGGGATGTGAGGATGGGGGATGTGGGTATGGGGGATGCGGGGATGAGGGACGTGGGGATGGGGGACGTGGAGATGGGGGATGTGGGGATGGGGATGTGGGGATGGGGGATGCGGGGATGAGGGACGTGGGGATGGGGGATGTGGGGATGGGGGAGGTGGGGATGGGGGACGTGGAGATGGGGGATGTGGGGATGGGGGATGCGGGGATGAGGGACGTGGGGATGGGGGATGTGGGGATGGGGGAGGTGGGGATGGGGGACGTGGAGATGGGGGATGTGGGGATGGGGGATGCAAGGATGGGGGATGTGGGGATGGGGGACGGGGGGATGGGGGATGCAGGGATGTGAGGATGGGGGATGTGGGGATGGGGGACGTGGGGATGGGGGACGTGGAGATGGGGTACATGGGGATGGTGGATGCGGGGGTGGGCCTCTGGGGCTGCGGTTATCCCGAGGGACTTGCAGTTTGGGGGCGTTCTGTGGCTGAGCTGTGATGCCCATGGCCATGCCTTGTCCCACATGGGCACAGCACATTCCCCGTGGCCCCACCATATCCCCCATGGCCATGTCCTACATGGCCACTCCATGACCCCCATGATCACACCACATCCCCTATGGCCATCTCATGACCACACCACATCCCCTATGGCCATCCCATGACCACACCGCACACCCCTCCCTTGGCCACACCACGTCCCTCCTGGCCACACCATGCCCATGACTATGCCATGGTCCCCATGACCACCCCACATCCCACATCCCCCATGGCCATCCCACAACCCCCATCCCTCATAACCACCCATCCCACCCCCTTGCACCCCCTTGCCCCCACGTACCCAGAGCAGCAGCTGGGTGATGACCACCAGCCCCATGTCACAGGCCACGTGCAGCGCCGGGCGCCCGTCCCCATCTGCAGTGCTGACGTTGAGCTGCTCCTTCTTGCTGTGGGCCAGGAGCAGCAGCACCAGCTCCAGGTCCTTGTCCTGCACGGCGCGGAGGAGCTGCTCCCCCAGCGGCCCCTCGGCCTCCGGCAGCGGCGCCAGGAACAGCTTCTGCTCGTACTTAGCCCGGATCCAGGCCTCCCGCTCCTCCCTGCGGGCAGGGGCACAGCGCGTCACGGGCTGGGGAGGGGGGGTCCGGGTCCCGGGGGGGGGCAGCACCCACCGGGAGGACTCGGGGGTGGGTTTGCTGCGGCCCTGCGGGCTCTTCTCCCAGATGCTGTTGGCGGTGGCGTTGCCGATGGAGGTCAGCACGAGGGTCAGCTCCCGTGGCCAATCGTCCAGGTCCAGCGAGCGCACGCGCGAGAGGTGCGTGCCCAGGTTGCGGTGGATCCCCGAGCACTCGATGCAGATCAGGGCGCCCAGGTTCAGGCTGGCCCAGGTCGGGTCTGGGGGGGGGGGGCATGGAGATGGTTGGTGACACAATGGGGGCATCGCATCAACCTGGGAACCCCCCCCGGCTTGATGGCACCTGATGGAGCATGGCCCATGGCATTGGGTGGCCCATGGTGCCATGTGGCAATGGGGCTTCCTAGACCAGGCCTTTGGGTAACCCAATGGCATGACATGACCCATGGCATTGGTGGCCCATGGTGCTTCCTTGCCCAAGTTCTTGGTGGCATGAAATGGCCCATGGCATCCCATGGCATCCCATGGCACACGGTGGCTCCTCACCCAGGGCATTAGATGGCCCATGGTGGCACATAGCACATGATGCTTCCTTGCACACGTTGGCCCACTGGGTGGCCATGGTTGTGCATGGTGCTTCCTCACCCAGGGCATTAGATCGCCCATGGCATGACGTGGTCCAGAGCATGACATCATGTGGCACACAGTGCCCAGGACATTGGGTGTCCATCACACCATCACAGCACACCTCAACCTGTGGCTCTGCCACGTGGTACCAAGTGACCGATGGCTCCACACAGCACCATGAGAGCAGCGACACTGCACAGCCCCGGTGTCCTGTGTCACTGCGTCACCTCTGACCCCCCACGACTGCCCATGTCCCCCCACATCCCCAGCGACCCCAACACTCACTGGGTGCCCCACAGTCCACACAGAACGAGTTGCCGCGGGCATTGCGGATGGCCTGGATGGCCACGGCCTCACTCTGGCTGTCCATGCGCGCCTGCGGGGGGACATGGGGACAATGAGCGGCGCTGGTGACGTGGTGGCCCCCCCGTGGCCACTGCCAAGTCCCACCTTGTTCTTGCTGCTCTCGCAGCACTGGAGGCTAGCCAGGATCTGGCTCTCGATGGCCTGCACCCAGGCGTCACGCTCCTCGAAGCTGCTCGCCTCGAAGTGCCAGGTCTGCCCCGTGCTGGACACGATGAGGAACTCGAAGTTCTCCTCTTCTGCAGGAGCAAAAACCCAACGCCCCAAACCAACGGTGGGTGGTGGGGCAGGGGGGATCCAACCCCCTATGGGTGCCCCAGCGCCCACAGCACCCATAGGTCCGCAGCAGAGGATGGAGCAGGGCAGGAGGAGCAAGGGGGAGCCGGGGGGCAGGAGGAGCCGTTACCTGTTTTATACAGATTTCTTAAACTACCAAAGCTTTTTAGCTTCCACATTTTGCGCTTGGCTGTGGGAGGGTCCGGAGCAGCGGGGGCAGAGAGAGGAAAGGGGGGGACAGAGTCACCAGAGCAGAACCGCCAAGCCCCGAGGGACAGGGGACAGGGGACAGCGCGAGGGGTGCAGGGAGGGACAGAGCAAGTGGGGTTCAGCAGTGGTCGAGCATCCAGGGGCATCGTCCCCATGGATGCGGCAATGGGTCCGTGGGCATCCAGGGCCTGAGGGACCCACGGCCATGGCCTCACCTTCCGCCTGCCCGGCAGAGCCCTCCGTCTTGGACGGTGTCATCAGCTTCTTCCTCCGGTGCTTCTTCCTGTCCATGAGCGGCGACGGCGGCGGCTCCCGGCCCGCGCTGCCGGGGCTGGAGATGGCTTCGAAGGGGGCATCTGTGGAGACACCAACACCGATGGGTGCCAGGGACACCAGGACCACCAGGGCCAGCAGGGCCAAGGGGGTCACCGGGAGCCGAGGGCACCAGGACCACAGGAGGCACCACAATCACCAAGCGCACCAGGGTTGGTGACCATTGAAGCCACGAGGGTGGCCAGGTCCACCAGAAACACTGGGTTCTCCATGGTCACCAGGTTCACAACTGTCACTGGGGCCAGCAGAGCCACCAGGGTCACCAAACCCACCGGAGTCACTGGGGTCAACAGGGACATCAGAGGGTGACCCAGGTGCAAAAGAGCCACCGGGCTTTTCACCAGCAGCACCAGGACCCCTGGAACCACCAGGGTCACCAAACCCGCTGGGGTTGCTGAGCTAACCAAAGCCACCACATTCACCATGGAGTCCAAGATCACCAGGGCCACCAAGGGCTACCGGGTCTCGGGGTTTACCAGGTCCACGGGGTCACTGGAACCAACATGGGATGGGACAAGGGGACAGCAGGAAGGGACAAGGGGTCCCTGGTTCTATCCTGGGGTGGTGGCCGGGTCCATTGGGACAGGAGGTAGTAGTACAAGGGGGCAGGAGGGGGCGCAAGGGGGCAGGAGGGGGCACAAGGGGCAGGAGGGGGCACAAGGGGGCAGGAGGGGGCACAAGGGGCAGGAGGGGGCACAAGGGGGCAGGAGGGGGCACAAGGGGCAGGAGGGGGCACAAGGGGCAGGAGGGGGCACAAGGGGGCAGGAGGGGGCACAAGGGGCAGGAGGGGGCACAAGGGGGCAGGAGGGGGCAGGAGGGGGCAGGAGCTGTCACTGCCACTCACCGGAGCTGACTCTGGCGCTGGAGGCAGAGGCACAGCGCTGCAGGGACCGCTCGCCCTTACCCGGTACCTTCAGCCCTGGCTCAGGGGGGAGGCTGAGCCCCACGGCTGGGGGGGGGCACCAGTGACCCCCGGTCCTGCAGGACCACCCCATTTCCACCAGCACCCCCAGATCCTGCTGAACCCCCATTGCCACCAGCACCCTCAGTGCTGCTGAACCCCCATTGCCACCAGCACCCCCCATTGCTGCAGAACCTCCATTGCCACCAGCACCCCCATTGCTGCTGAGCCCCCATTGCCACCAGCACCCCCATTGCTGCTGAACCCCCATTTCCACCAGCACCCCCATTGTTGCTGAGCCCCCATTGCCACCAGCACCCTCAGTGCTGCTGAACGCCAACTGCCACCAGCACCCCCAGCACCTGCTGAACACTCAATGCCACCAGCACCCCCATTGCTGCTGAACCCCCATTTCCACCAACACCCCCATTGCTGCTGAGCCCCCATTGCCACCAGCACCCCCAGATCCTGCTGAACCCCCATTGCCACCAGCACCCTCAGTGCTGCTGAACCCCCATTGCCACCAGCACCCCCATTGCTGCTGAACCCCCATTTCCACCAACACCCCCATTGCTGCTGAGCCCCCATTGCCACCAGCACCCCCAGATCCTGCTGAACCCCCAATGCCACCAGCACCCTCAGTGCTGCTGAACCCCCATTGCCACAAGCACCGCCCATTGCTGCTGAGCCCCCATTACCACCAGCACCCTCAGTGCTGCTGAACCCCCATTGGCACCAACACCCCCATTGCTGCTGAACCCTCATTGGCACCAACACCCCCAGCTCCTGCTGAACCCCCATTGTCACCAGCACCCTCAGTGCTGCTGAGCCCCCATTGCCACCAACACCCCCATTGCTGCTGAACCCCCATTGCCACCAACACCCCCAGCTCCAGCTGAACCCCCATTGCCACCAGCACCCCAAGATCCTGCAGAACCCCCATTGCCACCAGCGCCCCCATTGCTGCTGAGCACCCATTGCCACCAGCACCCTCAGTGCTGCTGAGCACCCATTGCCACCAGCACCCCCATTGCAGCTGAACCCCCATTGCCACCAACACCCCCAGCTCCAGCTGAACCCCCATTGCCACCAGCACCCCAAGATCCTGCAGAACCCCCATTGCCACCAGCACCCTCAGTGCTGCTGAACCCCCATTGCCACCAGCGCCCCCATTGCTGCTGAGCCCCCATTGCCACCAGCACCCTCAGTGCTGCTGAGCCCCCATTGCCACCAGCGCCCCCATTGCTGCTGAGCCCCCATTGCCACCAGCACCCCCAGATTCTGCTGAACCCCCATTGCCACCAGCACCCTCAGTGCTGCTGAAGCCCCATTGCCACAAGCACCGCCCATTGCTGCTGAGCCCCCATTGCCACCAGCACCCTCAGTGCTGCTGAGCACCCATTGCCACCAGCACCCCCATTGCTGCTGAACCCTCATTGGCACCAACACCCCCAGCTCCTGCTGAACCCCCATTGCCACCAGCACCCTCAGTGCTGCTGAGCACCCATTGCCACCAACACCCCCATTGCTGCTGAACCCCCATTGCCACCAACACCCCCAGATCCAGCTGAACACCCATTGCCACCAGCACCCCAAGATCCTGCAGAACCCCCATTGCCACCAGCGCCCCCATTGCTGCTGAGCACCCATTGCCGCCAGCACCCTCAGTGCTGCTGAGCCCCCATTGCCACCAGCGCCCCCATTGCTGCTGAGCCCCCATTGCCACCAGCACCCCCATTGCTGCTGAGCCCCCATTGCCACCAGCACCCCCATTGCTGCTGAACCCCCATTGCCACCAGCGCCCCCATTGCTGCTGAGCCCCCATTGCCACCAGCACCCTCAGTGCTGCTGAGCACCCATTGCCACCAGCACCCCCATTGCTGCTGAACCCCCATTGCCACCAGCACCCCCAGCTCCTGCTGAACCCCCATTGCCACCAGCACCCCCATTGCTGCTGAGCCCCCATTGCCACCAGCACCCTCAGTGCTGCTGAGCCCCCATTGCCACCAGCGCCCCCATTGCTGCTGAGCCCCCATTGCCACCAGCACCCCCATTGCTGCTGAGCCCCCATTGCCACCAGCACCCCCATTGCTGCTGAACCCCCATTGCCACCAGCGCCCCCATTGCTGCTGAGCCCCCATTGCCACCAGCACCCTCAGTGCTGCTGAGCACCCATTGCCACCAGCACCCCCATTGCTGCTGAACCCCCATTGCCACCAGCACCCCCAGCTCCTGCTGAACCCCCATTGCCACCAGCACCCCCATTGCTGCTGAGCCCCCATTGCCACCAGCACCCTCAGTGCTGCTGAGCCCCCATTGCCACCAGCGCCCCCATTGCTGCTGAGCCCCCATTGCCACCAGCACCCCCATTGCTGCTGAGCCCCCATTGCCACCAGCACCCCCATTGCTGCTGAACCCCCATTGCCACCAGCGCCCCCATTGCTGCTGAGCCCCCATTGCCACCAGCACCCTCAGTGCTGCTGAGCACCCATTGCCACCAGCACCCCCATTGCTGCTGAACCCCCATTGCCACCAGCACCCCCAGCTCCTGCTGAACCCCCATTGCCACCAGCACCCCCATTGCTGCTGAGCCCCCATTGCCACCAGCACCCTCAGTGCTGCTGAGCACCCATTGCCACCAGCGCCCCCATTGCTGCTGAGCCCCCATTGCCACCAGCGCCCCCATTGCTGCTGAACCCCCATTGCCACCAGCGCCCCCATTGCTGCTGAGCCCCCATTGCCACCAGCACCCTCAGTGCTGCTGAACCCCCATTGCCACCAGCGCCCCCATTGCTGCTGAGCCCCCATTGCCACCAGCACCCCCATTGCTGCTGAGCCCCCATTGCCACCAGCACCCCCATTGCTGCTGAGCCCCCATTGCCACCAGCACCCCCATTGCTGCTGAGCCCCCATTGCCACCAGCACCCCCATTGCACCTGAATCCCGCCCCGGTCCCCGGGCTCCCCCCGCACTCACCCCCCCCCTCGTCCCGCAGGAGCCCGTTGGCGCTGGGGGCGGGGCCGCAGGCGGAGATCGCGCGGGGGGGGCGCTTCCCCGGGACCTTGACCGTGGTGCGGAGCAAATCCATCTCCTTCCCATGGGTGCTGTGCAGGTAATCCTGTATGGGACAGGAGAGGTGACACCGGGTCCCGTATGGGACAGGAGAGGTGACACCGGGTCCTGTATGGGACAGGAGAGGTGACACCGGGTCCTGTATGGGACAGGGGAGGTGACACCGGGTCCCGTATGGGACAGGAGAGGTGACACCGGGTCCTGTATGGGACAGGAGAGGTGACACCGGGTCCTGTATGGGACAGGGGAGGTGACACCGGGTCCTGTATGGGACAAGGAGGTGACACCGGGTCCTGTATGGGACAAGGAGGTGACACCGGGTCCCGTATGGGACAGGAGAGGTGACACCGGGTCCCGTATGGGACAGGGGAGGTGACACCGGGTCCCGTATGGGACAGGAGAGGGGACACCGGGTCCCGTATGGGACAAGGAGGTGACACCGGGTCCCGTATGGGACAGGAGAGGTGACACCGGGTCCCGTATGGGACAGGGGAGGTGACACCGGGTCCCGTATGGGACAAGGAGGTGACACCGGGTCCCGTATGGGACAGGGGAGGTGACACCGGGTCCCGTATGGGACAGGAGAGGTGACACCGGGTCCCGTATGGGACAGGGGAGGTGACACCGGGTCCCGTATGGGACAGGAGAGGTGACACCGGGTCCCGTATGGGACAGGGGAGGTGACACCGGGTCCCGTATGGGACAGGAGAGGTGACACCGGGTCCCGTATGGGACAGGAGAGGTGACACCGGGTCCCGTATGGGACAGGGGAGGTGACACCGGGTCCCGTATGGGACAGGAGAGGTGACACCGGGTCCCGTATGGGACAGGGGAGGTAACACCGGGTCCCGTATGGGACAGGAGAGGTGACACCGGGTCCCGTATGGGACAGGGGAGGTGACACCGGGTCCCGTATGGGACAGGGGAGGTGACACCGGGTCCCGTATGGGACAGGGGAGGTGACACCGGGTCCCGTATGGGACAGGGGAGGTGACACCGGGTCCCGTATGGGACAGGGGAGGTGACACCGGGTCCTGTATGGGACAGGGGAGGTGGCAGCGGTCCCGCAGGGGCCCGGGGCAGGCGCTGTGGCCGCGGGCACTCACATTCACGCTGGGGTGGTAGAGCAGGAGCCCGTTGCTGCTCAGGGTCACGTATTTCTTCTTCCACTCCTTGTTGAGGGAGTTGCCGCTGCGCTTCAGCAGGAAGCTCTGGGCAGGGACAGGGACAGGGGCAGCGCTGGCACCGGGGGGGGGACATCGCCGCTTCCCCCCGCGGCCAAAACCCACCTGCTTGATGGGCACCGGCACCGAGCGGGCGGTGCTGGGGCCCTCCAGGCTCCGCTTGTCCGTGTCGCTGCCGCGGCGAGTCTGTGGGGACAGGGGTGGGGATGGGGACAGGGGTGGGGATGGGGACAGGGACAGGAGACAGAACAGGTACAAGGAGAGGGATGGGGATGGGACAAGGACAGGGACAGAGAACGGGGACCGGGACAGGGACAGAGGATGGGGACAGGGGAATTGAACACATAAGGCCAGGGCACCCACCCCCGGTGGCACTGGGGTACCCAAATGCCTCCCTGTGCCACGCTGGGAAAATATGGGCGCCACATGGATGCCACATGCCCCCTGTGCTGCCAGAGCACCACGGTGAGGCACCCTAGATCCACGTGCCCCCCTGTGCCACCGCCCTGCCAAAAGGACACTATGGTGGCTATATGTCCCTTGTTGCCACCACCCTCCCAAGGGGACACTGAGGGGACCAAACGTCCCTGCTGGTGCCGCGGTCACTCACGGCGAAGAGGCTGGTGCGGCGCTTGGCCCCGCGGTGCAGGGAGCTGGGGGTGCCGGGGACCACGGGGGTGTCGCTGCGCAGGTCCCGGTGGGTGACGTTGGGGGTGGAGGGCAGCGAGGACGAGTAATCACTGGTGTGGCCATTGCTGGTCTGGGGGCACAGTGGGGTCAGAGCCACCACCGGAGCCCCATGGCCAGGGGTGGGTAATGGGGGGTACCTGGCCAGGGTGGGAGCCCCCGAGTGGGGTGGAGGCAGCTGAGTGGCTGGGGGAGCTGGGCAGGGACTTGCAGGAGGCCACGAGCTGCTGCTGCTTCCTCAGCGCCACCACCTTCTGTGCCACTGCTCCAAGAGCCTCGTGTCAGGTGGGATGTGGGACATGGGACATGGCACCGAGACCCCAGCCACCACCATGGTCCCATCCCACCTCCACCACCACCATGGTCCCATCAAACCTCCATCACCACCATGGTCCCATCCCACCTCCATCACCACCATGGTCCCATCCCACCTCCATCACCACCATGGTCCCATCCCACCTCCACCACCACCATGGTCCCATCCCACCTCCATCACCACCATGGTCCCATCCCACCTCCACCACCACCATGGTCCCATCAAACCTCCACCACCACCATGGTCCCATCAAACCTCCACCACCACCATGGTCCCATCACACCTCCATCACCAGCCATGGTCCCATCCCACCTCCATCACCACCATGGTGCCATCACACCTCCATCACTGCTATGGTCCCATCACACCTCCACTCAACTATGGTCCCCATTCCACCTCCATCACCAGCCATGGTCCCGTCACACCTCCATCACCAGGCATGGTCCCATCCCCCCTCCACTGCAGCCATGGTCCCCATCCCACCTCCATCACCACCATGGTCCCATCCCACCTCCCTCCACCGCCCCCGTCCCCCCGGCACACTGGGCACCCACCCTCGGTGAAGACCCTGTCCACGTTGAGGCCGTACGTGGCGCAGGTCTCGTAGTAGAGGCAGCGCCTCATGTCCCCGCAGAGCGCGCGGGCGCGGGCGTCCTCCACCACGCGTGGGCTGGAGGAGCTGATCTTGTCTGTGGGGAGCAGCGGTGAGGGGGGGTTGTCCCCTCCCCATGCCGGCCCCATGGGGGTCCCCCCCCGGCTCACCCTGGGTGCCCACCAGCGCCAGGGCCACCTCAGCGGCGCCCCGGTGGGTGACGAGCAGCTCGTGGAGCTTCACCACCTCCTGGAAGCTGCCTTCGCTCTCCAGGCTGAACACGAAGATGACGGCGTCGGCCCAGCTGGCAAACTGGGGAGGGGGGGACACGAAGAGGGGGTCAGAGCCTGGCCCCGCTGCTGGACCCCCCGGCCCGGCCCACACCCACCTCTGGGTCCGGGGGTCCTCCTTCCTCCCGGATGAGCAGGAGGTGGCTCTGGCCATCAACCGTCACCTCACGCTTGAACTGGCCACCTGAGGCAGGGAGAAAGCAGGGAACCCACGCTGAGCTGCACCCATGGCCTGAGGCCCAATGGGCTGGAGCACCCCACGGCCATGAGCACCCTATGGCCATGAGCACCCCACGGCCATGAGCACCCCATGGCCACGAGCACCCCACAGCCATGAGCACCCTATGGCCATGAGCAGCCCACGGCCATGAGCACCCTATGGCCATGAGCAGCCCACGGCCATGAGCACCCGATGGCCATGAGCAGCCCACGGCCATGAGCACCCGATGGCCATGAGCAGCCCACGGCCATGAGCACCCGATGGCCATGAGCACCCCAGGGCCTTGAGCACCCAGTGACCATGAGCACTCCATGGCCTTGAATACCCCATGGGCTGGAGAACCCCATGGCTCTGAGCACCCGATAGCCATGAACACCCCACAGCCTTGAGCAACTCAACGGCCATGAGCACTACACGGGTTGGAGCACTTCATAGCCTTAAGCATTCCATGGCCTTGAGTACCCCATGGCCATGCCCAACAGTATGGTTTTGACTGTCCTCTTGTCCATACTCAGAACCATAGCCTTGTCCATCCCATAGTCATGGACTAAGTTCAGGCCATGGTCATGCCCAACCCTGTGACCATGCTCAGCTCCATGATCGTAGTCCATCCCTACGGCCTTGTACATCCCATGGCCAAGCTCAAGCTCATGATCATGCTCAGCTCTACTAGGACCATGTCCATCCCCATGGCCATGTCCATCCTCACAGCCATGTCCAGCACCACAGCCATTGCTGTGTCCACCCCCATGGCCATGTCCACCCCCATGGCCATGGCCATCCCCACGGCCACTCACTCTCGGTGGGCTCCAGGCCCACATAGGAGCCGGTGAGGAAGCGATGGACAAGTGCAGACTTCCCACTCCTGCTACTGCCCAGGACACCCTGGGGACAGAGCAGAGGAGGTGTCAGGGTGCTCATGGGGACAGGGACACAGGGACACGGGGACAGGGACATGGGGACAGGAGCATGGGGACACAGAGACACAGGGACATGGGGACAGGGGCATGGGGACATGGTACCCACCAAGCGGATCTCAGGGATGGAGCGACCCAGGGTCCATTCCTGGCTGTTGACCAGAGCCTCTGTGGGGCAGGAGAAGGGTGGGACGGTGCCACCAGCCCCAGGCTGGGCCAGGCCACCCCCCACCCGTGCCGCGGCACCGGCAGCAGCCGTGGGCAGCACCCGCCGTCACCAGGCAACGCACCGGGGGCGGCGGAGACGTGACGTGATGTGCGGGGACAGGGACATGGAGCCCGGCACGGGATGGGGATGGGGATGGGAATGGGGTGGGAATGGGGGTGAAGCGTGTCAGGAGGACATGGCCTGGCACAGGGAGATGATGGGCACCAGGACACGATGAGCACCAGGATGTGTCGTACCATGAGGACACAACAGGCACCAGGACGCAATGTGGCACCAGTACGTGGCCTGGCACAGGATGTTGATGGGTGCCAAGCGGCAACACAGCATGAGGGCGCAGAACCAGGACATGATGGGCACCAGGACACGATGGCACAACGATGTGGTGTGGCAAGAAAACATAGCGTGGCATGAGGACCCAATGGGCATCAGGACACGATGGCACCAAGATGCAGCATGGCACGAGGGCACAATGGGTTTCAGGCCACGATGGGCACCGGGACACGGTGCTGCACGTGACGGGCACGAGGACGTGACGGCTGCGGCGCACATGACGACATGGGAGGCACGAGGCCGTGGCGTGACACGGGGACGCGAGGAGCACGAGGAATCGGCACCCGCTGGGCACGAGGATGCACCCAGCCCCGCGCACGAGGACATGGCGCGAGGACACAGCGTGACACGAGCATGCGGCGGCGCACGAGGATGTTCCCTGTGTCCCCCCCCAGCCCCTGGGCGCCATCAGAAGGGAAACTGAGGCCGGGCAAAGGCAGAAGGTGCCTTCCTTTCCTGTGCCTCAGTTTCCCCGGTACAGGCAGGGTCAACCTGCTCCTGTCCCCCCATGCACCCCATGGCACCAGGGGGACAGACGGACACAGGCAGAGGATGGATGGACATGCGATAGGTGTCACAGATGGCGGGGAGATGGACGGACGGATGCCAGCACAGGAGGACGCATGAGGATTGAGCCCCACAGAGCCACCACAGTGGGGAAACTGAGGCACAAGGGCCCCATGGCACCTGAGGCCGCTTAGGGGTGGCCTTGACTTGCTGTGTCCCCAGCCCTCAGCCATGGGGCGCAGACGGGTCCCAGCCCCGTACAATCCCCCTCCCATCCCCACAACCCCTCCTCAGCCCCATTGCACCCATTCCCACCCCACCCAGCTCCCCCAGGGACACCGAGGTGCTGCCCCACAGCCCACGGCAGGGCCGGCCCATGGGATCCGCACACCCCTCCCCATCGCACGGCGCTCACCGGGGGCCGCGGGGAAACTGAGGCACGTCCCGGACCGCCCGGTACTCACGGGGGGGGGCCCAGGGGGGCGCGGGGGGGGGCGCGGGGCTCTTGGCGAAGATGCCGCTGATGAACTTGAGCATCTTGCGGTCGCGGGTGGAGGCTCGGCCGCCTTCGCGCCCCCGTTTGAGCCCCGTCTCGGTACCGGCGGCACCGGGGGCCGCAGCGGGAGCCGGGACCGGAGTCAGCCCCCCCGCTACCGGGGGCAGGTCGCTGTAATCCAGGGTCTTGCTTTTGCCTTTGTGAGGGGAGAAGCGACCCCGTCCCGGCGGCCTCGGCCCCGCCTCAGGTCCCGCTTTGCCCCCCGCGGCTTTGGGCCGCCCCTTGCCCTCGCCCTCGGGCCACGAGAGGCGGCTGCCCCCGGCCCCGCTCGCGGTCGCCTTCAGGGGCCCTTTGGTCGCCTTCAGAGGCTCCCCGGGGGTCGCCACTTTGAACGGCTTCGTCCCGGTCAAGCGGAGCCGGCGGGGCCCGGCCGAGGGGTGCGGGGAGGACACGGGGTGCGGGGGGGGTTTGGCCAGCTCCGGGGTCACCTCGGGGCACCCCCACGTTGCCTGGGCCAGCAGCGGGGGCCGCGGGGTCGCCAGGGCCGGGGGGGGCCGCCCCCGCTCCCCTGTGGCCTCCAAGGTGCCCTTGGACCCCCCTCGCGGGGTGAGGTCTGGTTTTGGGGGTACAGCGGGGGGCAGGGAGGCCGCGGGGGGTTTTGGGGGTACGGCGGGGGGCGGCGGGAGCGCAGTCGGGTCCGGTTTGGGAGGGACAAGCGGGGGTTGGGGGGGGGGAAGAGACGCCGGGTCGGGTTTGGGGGGTACAACCGGAGGGGGGGGCAGCAGGGTCGGGTCGGGTTTTGGGGGTACAACGGGGGGGGTGGAGGTGGGAGAACGGGGCCGGCGGGAGGCGGCGGCGGCGGCGGGGCGGGGAGGGGGGGCCGAGGCCTCGGTGGTGGGCACCGGGCCCGGGCTGGGGGTGCGGGGGCTGCCGGGGGGGGCCGCAGCGTCGGGGGGGCCGGTTGTACTTATCCAAAGAGCGTCCTGGCGCTGGAAGAGCCGCTCGGGCCGCTTCGTTCTGCCGCCGCCACCGGGATCCTCGGGGCGGGCGGCATCAACCGGCCTCCCCCCGGGGCGGGGGGACCCATCGCTGCCCCCCCCCGCCGCCGCCGCCGCCGCCGCCGGCTCCGGTTCTCCCGGCGCTGCCGCCACCGACTCGAGCTTGACGAGGGTGAGGGAGATGAGGAAGGTTGTGCGGCGCTGGAGGCCGCTGGTCCTGCTCATGGGTGCGGGCAGGGACACCCCCCCCGGCCCGGGCAGGCGGCGAAGCCCCCCCCTCGCTGTCCCTGTCCCCGTCGCTGTGTATCCGCGTCCCCCCCCCCGTTCCCGGTGTTCCCGGTTCGCTGGAGGATGCTCGGCGCCGTCCCCACCCCCGGCCCTGCCTCCCCGAAGCCTTTCCCCGCTCCTCGCCCGCCCCCGGAGGGGTTGGAACCGACACCGCCCCCCCCCACCGAACAAACCCCCCCCCCCATAACAACCCCCCCACCCAACAGAGCAAACCCCTCCCGGAGCGCGCAACCCTCTCCCCTGGTTAAAGACCCGGGGGCACCGTGGGGGGCCCCCCCCCAAGCATGGGCGCGGATGTGGGGGTCCGGGGGGGGGGAGTTATAGGGTGGGGGGAATCTGTTGGGATGGGGGTGGGGGGGAGAGGGGGCATCGAGGGGCACGGGGGGTTATGGGAGGTGTGTGGGGGGGTGATGGGGAGGTATGGGGGGGCTATAGGGGAGTTGTGGTGCGATTATGGGGGCTATGGGGGGGGGCTATGGAGCGATTATGGGGGGACTATGGAGGTGTTGTGGGGTCCCTGTTTGGGGGGTCCCGTGGGGGTCCCCACAACACGATCCCGGCCGCAGCCTCCCTTTTCCCGTCATGTTTTTAGCATCAACCTCCCTCTCCCCACTCCCGCATCCCGTTATCCCGTTGCCGTGGCAGCGGCGGGGCCAGGGATGGAGCCCTACGGGCGGTCCCCAGCGGTTCCCCCCCCATCCCGGTCTATGTTTCCCCCCCCCCCCGGGGGTGCTGAGTTTCGGGGGTCGTTCCCCCCCCCCTCCGCTGCCTTCCCTCCCCCCTTGTTACTGCCACATTCCCGCTGCTCGTGACAGAACCGGGAGCGTCTCCCCAGCAACGCGCCCACGGCACCACCGGGATGGATGGATGAGGGGGGGGCACTCCTTGATCCCCCTCCTTGTCCCTCCCTGTCACTAGGGGGGTGACACGTGATCCCCTCACAGCCCCCCCCATAGTGCCAGTGTTGCCCCCCTCCCATTCCCAGTCCATTCCAGTCCCTCCCAGTGCCCCCCTGCAGTCTTCAGGAGACAGGCTGGGTGCCCCCCCATCACCCATGGGTGGCTCTTGTGTGTCTCCCCCCAACTATGGGGGCGTCACGGCGAGTCTGACACCACCACCCCCCCCCAAACCAGTCACATCCCCATCGACATCCCCAGGTCCTGCTGCCCCTGTTGCTGCCCTGCTGCCCCGTTGGGGCTGAGGGGGAGGTCAGAAGCACCCACAGCAGGTGACAGCTGGTCCCTGCGGTGGGGGTGCTGGGGTGGGGGGGTCCCTGTGCCCCCCTATCCGTGGGTACCACTTTCTGGGTGCTTAGCAACGAGGCATCCCCCTGCTTCTTGTTGCCATGGCAACAGTGCTGGGGAGATGCCAGCACACACGGGGGGGGGGGCGTGCAGGGATGCAGAGGGGGGACACAGGGATGTGGAGTGGGGGCACAAGGATGGGAGGCACAAGAACTGGGGGACACGGGGATGGGGGCACACAGATGTGTGTGTTGGGGGTGGAACCAGCACCCAAGTCCCTGGGGACACCATCCCATTGGACACCCACCAATGGGGACCATGGGATGGGAGAGCATCCCCCCACCCACAGCACCTCCATGGGGCCCTCCAGAATCAGGGCCCTCCCCACATCCCCCCCCGGGTGCTGCCCCCCCCCCCCCCCCCGAGTTGAGGAAACGGCCCCAACGTCACCGACCGCAGCCCCGGACTGAGGCACCGGAAACCAGCAAAGGCGGCAGCAGGAGGAGGCAGGGGAGGGGCTGGGGACCCCCAAACCCACTCTCCCCAGCTCTGACCCCTTCAACATGTCCCCAAGTGGGTCCTGGGGGGTACTGGGGATCCCCAGCCCTGGGCAGCGTCAAGGGAGGGAACCAGGACCCCACAGTTTGTGAGGGCCCTGAGGGGAGTTGGGGGTCACAGGGACCCCCCTGTGTGCATGGATACCTGCCCAGGGTTCGGTGTGGGGCAGGGAGGACCGGTGTCATGAGCTGTCCGGATGCCCATCATCCAGCCACCATCCTCCTGCCCACCCAGCATCATCCATTCCTCTGTCCTTCTGTCCATCCAACCATCAAACCGCCACCCCCCCCAGCCCTCCATCTGCCCATCTCACCAGCCCCCATCTCTCTGTGTATGCATTCATCCCTCCATCCCTCTGTCCATCCCTCCATCCATCCCGCAGCTCATCCCTCCCTCCCTCCCTCCCTCCCTCCCTCTATTCCTCCCTTCAGCCACCTGACCACCTGCCTGTTCTATCCATCTGTCCGTCCATCCATCCATCCATCCATCCATCCATCACCCCTCCGTCCATGCCTCCATCCATCCGTCTGTCCCAACACTCATCCCTCTGTTATCCACTGTGCATCCCTCTGTCCATCCACCCTGCTGTCCATCCATCTGTTCATCCACACATCCTTTGTCCCTCGATCCATCCCTCCATCCATCCATCCCTCCATCCCTCCCTCTCTCCATCCATCCATCCATCCATCCATGTATGTATGTCTCCCTCCATCCATCTGGTCATCCACCCCCCTGTCCATTCACACATCCATCATCCCACTGTTCATCCCTCTGTCTATCCCCCTGTACATCCATCCGTCCATCCATCTATCCATCCATCCACCCATCCATCCATCCATCCATCCATCCATCCATCCATCCATCCATCCATCCATCCATCCCAACATCCATCTTATCCACCTCCTGCCCATCCCTCCTGTGTTCACTCACACATGCACCCATCATCACTTCATCCATCCCCCTGTCCATCCATCAGTCCATCCCCCTGTCCATCTGTCTGTGCACCCATGTGTCCCTCCATCCATCCTTCCACCCCTCTGTCCGTCCACCTGTCCATACACACATCCACCCATCCATCGTCCCCCTGTCTATCCCCCTGTCCATCCCCATGTCCATCCCCCTGTCTATCCCCCTGTCCACCCCCATGTCCATCCCCCTGTCCATCCCCCTGTCCATCCCCCTGTCTATCCCCCTGTCCATCCCCATGTCCATCCCCCTGTCCATCCCCATGCCTATTCCCATGTCCATCCCCCTGTCTATCCCCCTGTCCATCCCCCTGTCCATCCCCCTGTCCATCCCCATGTCCATCCCCCTGTCCAGCCCCCTGTCCATCCCCATGTCCATCCCCCTGTCCATCCCCATGCCTATTCCCATGTCTATCCCCCTGTCCATCCCCCTGTCCACCCCCCTGTCCATCCCCCTGTCCATCCCCATGTCCATCCCCATGTCCATCCCCATGTCCACCCCCATGTCCATCCCCCTGTCCATCCCCCTGTCCATCCCCCTGTCCATCCCCATGTCCATCCCCATGTCCATCCCCATGTCCACCCCCATGTCCATCCCCCTGTCCATCCCCAAGTCCATCCCCATGTGAATCCCCCTGTCCATCCCCATGTCTATTCCCATGTCCATCCCCATGTCCACCCCCCTGTCCACCCCCCTGTTCTCTCCATCCTCTGTCCCCCCACCCCTCCCTCCCTCGCCCCCGCTGTCCCCCCGTGTCCCGGCACCTCGGAGGTCGCGCGCTGCCGCCGCCAGCGCCCGCCGCAGCCGGGGCTCGGTCACGGCCTCCACGAGCGCCACGAGCGCGTTGAGGCTCCGCTTGGCCTCCTCGTGCCGCCGCACCTCGGCGCGGATGGCGGCGAGCGCCCGGCCCCGCGCCCCGCTCATGGCACCCGCGGGGCTGCGGCGGCCCCGGCCCGGCCCCGCGCATCCGGCCCCGCGCTTCCTGCGGGACGCGGCGCCTGCAACGAGCCCGGACACGCCACGGCCCGGCCCGGCCCAGCGCCGCCCGCGGCACGCGTGGGGACGCGCGAGGAGCCGGCTCCACATGGGACACAGCGGGGACACAGCGGGGACACAGCGGGGACATAACCAGGGACATAACCAGGGACATAACCAGGGACATAACCAGGGACATAACCAGGGACACAGCGGGGACATAACCAGGGACACAGCGGGGACATAACCAGGGACATAACCAGGGACATAACCAGGGACACAGCGGGGACATAACCAGAGACATAACCAGGGACATAACCAGGGACACAGCGGGGACATAACCAGGGACATAACCAGGGACATAACCAGGGACATAACCAGGGACACAGCGGGGACATAACCAGGGACACAGCAGGGACATAACCAGGGACACAGCGGGGACATAACCAGGGACATAACCAGGGACATAACCAGGGACATAACCAGGGACACAGCGGGGACACAGCGGGGACATAACCAGGGACACAGCAGGGACATAACCAGGGACACAGCGGGGACATAACCAGGGACACAGCGGGGACATAACCAGGGACATAACCAGGGACATAACCAGGGACATAACCAGGGACACAGCGGGGACACAGCGGGGACATAACCAGGGACACAGCAGGGACATAACCAGGGACATAACCAGGGACATAACCAGGGACATAACCAGGGACATAACCAGGGACACAGCGGGGACACAGCGGGGACATAACCAGGGACATAACCAGGGACATAACCAGGGACACAGCGGGGACACAGCGGGGACACAGCGGGGACACAGCGGGGACACAGCGGGGACATAACCAGGGACACAGCAGGGACATAACCAGGGACATAACCAGGGACACAGCGGGGACACAGCGGGGACACGCCAGGGACACAGAGGGGGGACAGCGGGGATACATCATGGACACACCAGGGACACGCCATGGACACACCAATGACACGCCATGGACACACCAGGGACACGCCATGGACATACCAGGGACACGCCATGGACACACCATGAACGCACGAGGGACAGGCCATGGACATGCCAGGGACACCCCAGGGACACGCCATGGACACACCATGGACACGTCATGGATGCACCAGGGACAGGCCAGGGACATGCCATGGACACACCAGGGACATGCCATGGACACACCAGGGACACGCCATGGACACACCAGGGACACGCCATGGACACGCCAGGGACACACCATGGACATGCCAGGGACACAGCAGGGACACAGCAGGGACACAGCAGGGACACGCCAGGGACATACCAGGGACACGCTAGGGACACACCAGGGACACACCATGGACATACCAGGGACATGCCATGGACACACCAGGGACATGCCATG